AATATCCCAAGAAAGTATGAAAATGTATCTTTCCACTATCAGGTCTTCCACTTTTCCTGCCTTTTTACCCTTCCACAACCCCAAAACCCGGGACAAACTTGCAGATAAATCTCCATAATCCAAGTTGAGGATTTTGGCAGCAGACACATCAATCTGAAATGTAGGAGGATGTGGGGAAAAGTCGATCATTTGACTCATCAAGTGGTTGACTGACTCCTCTTCAGCCCATGAATCAGTTATGCCTCTTGCTACAAGAGACGCCCAAGAAGATAAATGATCACCAACGGTTACATGCAAATTACTACCACAGCTACGAACTTCCCTCAGTTTAGACCTTAGATCTAGCATTAATGATGTTGGGCATGTGTTTGGATGCAGCAACATATGGTGCAACAGCACTAACAACCTAGATATCAGCATTGCCCAACAGGACAGCTGAGGACCATCACGTATTCCGGACGGGGTATCAATTTTATGCAGACACGAAGCAATAAGATTTGAGAATTTTGCCTTTTCTGCTTCATTTGATAAATGGAAAGCCATAAGAAGAATCTCAATATGGAAAGCAGAGGGAAGACATGCAGTCAACTCCTTGACACTCGAACCATCAGTACATATTCCTCTTGCTCTCTCGGCAATAAAACTAACGAAACCAACATAAAGTTTGGCCCTCAACTGTGCCCCAGCCAAGCCCGGCCTACAAAGAAGAGTCTGAGCCAACAGTGCCAGAGTCTTATCATTATAGTTGAAGTCACCATTTTCAACAGCAAGAATTTGCTGAAAAAGGTGGGACTCAAAAGAATCAGACAGAGCACGGCTTCTCAAGAAATTGAGTAACAGCTCAAAAGCAACATGTCCAGGTCTTCCTTCATCTTGGAGCATGCAACCACCATCCGAAACCTTGTCTTCAATACTACAGCCTACTATATTGAGCAGGATATCAAGGTGACCAGTGTCAAGCTTTTTACATCCATCTTCATATATACGAGGAACCCATTCTTGACAAAAAACGCAGGTTCTAAGAAAGTTCAACAGTTCCTTAGCAGCTTGCAATGGTAAATTGCTGTTGACAGCAACGGGTGGTTGATCATTTGGTTCTATGGAACACAGAGAACGGCTACCCTCAGAAAACAAGTTTCCAAACAGGGCTTCGTCGTCATGAGAAATTTGGCTTTCAACTTCTGCAAAACTGTTGGATCTTAAACTGGAATATGTTCTCTCTACTTTTGGACATAATTTTACTCCTTCACGATGAAGGAAGTAAACAAGATGAAAGAAGTTGTCCACCCACTGACTTGATGAAGGAAATATTGCTCTCATTATATCCTCGACCGTGAAGCACTTGAGCAACGGGATCTTTTCCTGGTGCAGATGGAAATAAACAGAATCAACAGAGGAATTTTCATTGTCATCGTTGACTTCTGACTCTAAAACCCTCAGATCTTGGATATGGTATGCCTGCCTCTTGAGATCTTGAATGAGTCTCAATGTGTAGATGACAGACCGAGGGAAGTAAGCAAGTGGAGGTATCAAATTAGAAGTGGACACATCATATCTCCACAATGAGGCATCTAAATTGTTCACAATAGAAGCTGATACACATGCCTGGACATTCTGAAAAACACTGCTCTTGCCAAAAATGAGTTGAGCAAGATTAAGAAATCCTTCCACCAGCGCTAGAGAAAGACTCTCAATATTACCCTCTGTGGCAGTGTGGTTAGTGAATTCGACGAAAACCCTAAACAGCTTAGGAAAAGCATCTGTAAATGAAGCTACTGCTTGTAACAATGACCCATCGTTTTCTATACTTTGAACATCTTTGGAAATACTTCCAAGCAGCTTCAGAATTCTTAAGCAAAAGGACAATCTGTCAAGGAAAGCTTGATCAACCGTCTTCTCATCTAACACACTTGGCAATTGAACAAGCTCTTTGCAGACCATAATCAGACGACAAACACAGCCAAGGTGAACAACTGCCAGGTGCCGAGTTAATGGATTCAGGTTTCCACAGTCGTGCTGAAAAGAGGGCTTGACTACTGACTGAGTCTGGACATCAGATTCAATGCATTCAGACATCAGCGTAATAAGAAGTCGGTCAACTGGCTTCTCTTCGTTTGAGCACCTGCCCCCTGCTTGATAAGTAAAAAAAAAAGGTATAAAGATCATCAGATAAATTTGAAGTAAGATAATATATTGCTGAGTGGATTGTTAGCAACAATACCTTGAAAAGTACATTTCACAAGGCTATATAATTCCATATTATCATGCTCGGCAGATAATGCTGGCCACAGTTCTGCAGCTTCAGCGGGAGAGACAGCTGGAAATATATCATATTGTTTCTCACTTCCATCAGAAGAAGCAATCTCCAAAAGTATTTCCATGTTTATCTGATTCAAGCAAGCATTTGGAGAGATTACTAACACAGTCAACCTT